TGTTATACTATCTTAGCTATTTATAGGGCATCAGCCACCATCATATCCAGGTATTCATTCTATAATTATTCAAAATTTCCTTTTACAAACCTCAGCACTTGGCCAGTTCATTTCTGCCCTCCAAAGATTACTTTATACAACTACACCCAGAAACCTGGTCAGTCAGTCATAAGTGATGTTACACCATCAACTATGATCATTGCTCTATCCAGAGCTTTGGTTGACTTTATTGTATATGAAACCATCTCAAACATATGAACCTCCTGCCCAGAGTACACCTATAATATCTAGCACTTGCAAACGTCTTAATTATCAAATGCAAGCTCTCAGTTCCTTCAATCCTGTGAAATACTAACTGCCTATTATCCTGTTTGTGCAGGCCCCACTTTAATGAAGTATATTTTGCCATCCAAAGTCCTCATGGAAAATATTTCTATTTTGAAAACAAAGAGCTAATGATTTGGCACGAGTCACATGGTGAGACAGTAGGGAATGCAATGAGATATGGGGAGAAGAAAAGAAGTGGAGTTCCAGTTTGAGCAAAGAGAAACAAAACTTGGCCGGATAGCTCAGGTTAATGATTATGTGCAGGGCCCTACCAAATTCAAGGTCCATTCTGGTCCAATTTCACAGTCATAGGATTTGAAAATTAGTCAATTTCATCTTTTCAACTGATATTTCACAGTGTTGCGAAACCATGGGGGTCCTGACCCAAAAGGGGGTCATGGAGGGGTCACAAATCTGTTGTGTGTGGGGGGGGGGGGGGTCATGGGCTTGCTACCCTCACTTCTGCGCTGTCAGCGGCCCCAGAACGTCCCACAGCCAGCTCCCAGAAATGGAGATGGGTCTGATCTCCTCTGTGCTGCTGGGAACACCCCAGCTGGGGGCTCCTAGCTATGAGTTGGGGCTGGGCTGGGGAGGGACAGGACTTGCTCTTCCCCTGCACAGCTGCTCTGGGAGCAAGGCGGGTGATCAGACCCACCTCAGGGAATCTCCCCCCCCCCGCAGGGCACTCCCAGCAGCACAGGGGAGATCAGACCTCTCCACTTCTGGCAATCTCTTACAGCTGCAGGAAGCCCTGGGGCTGCTACCCAGGCCAGGTACCCAGAAGTGGGTCTGATCCCCCCTCTCCCCCGACAGTGGCTATGCAGGGGGAAAGTACATCCATCCCCTCTGGGCTGGGGAGGGGCGGGATGCAGAGTAGCTGGAGACGTGGTAGGAGCCCCGGCTGGGACACCCCAGCCCTGCCCCTCCAATTTCACAGAGGAAGTCTGGTTTCACGGTCTGTGACACGTGGCGGGGGGGGCGCTGAGTGGCGGGGGGGGGCAGGATGCGAGGGCAGGGCGGCTAGGAGCTGACCCAAGGCGCGGGGGTGTCTGGGGACCCGAGGGACCTGGGCGCCCGTGGGGGGAGGAGAGGGACGGGTCGGAGGGCTGGGGGGGGGGCGGTGTGTATCCGCTGGAGTGGGGCAATGGGGGAGGGGAGAGCGGCAGGGACCGGGGGGTATATCTGGGGGCAGGGGCTTAGCGGGGCCGCGGAGGGTCAGAGCCGGGGGGTCCCGCGTCGGGCTGCGCCCCCAGGGCGAGGACCGGCGGGAGGCCGTTCCCGGGCGGACGGGGGAGGGAGAACAGAGGGACTTTACCCGCCCCCTCACCTGGCTCCACTCGGCTCTCGAGCTCCCCCCCCGCCTCCTCGCTCTCTCGCGACGCAGGCGCGCGCGGAGCCGGCGACCGTTACAGCCGTGCCAGGGGGGGAGTGGGCACCACGCTAGCGAGCCACGCCCCCGCGCTGCGCCGCGCCTATCCGGAGCGACGGGTGCGCCTCGTGCCCCCCGCCATTGGCTCGCAGGATCCGATCCCGGCCGAAGAGACACGAGCTCCGCCTTCCGGCTGAATAGCGGCAGCGCATCAGGGAGAACTGTCTGCCACCGGGACCCGTAAGGAGAGGAGGCGGGGCCTAGGGCTGTGATGCGATTGCCCCGCCCCCTTTCCAGCCCTCGCCTCCCAGCCCCTAGCCCGCCCCTGATCCGTCCCCTCTCAAATCCCAGGTCCCGCCCCCAGCCTCTGCCCCTCCCCCCTCAATAACCCCCCCCCCCCCCCCCGCCCCACATGGCATTGCCTGGGCTAGCCCAGCCCCTGCCCTGCCCCCTGCCCTGGGGGCCATGCCCAGTTGCAGGCCCAGCTGCAGATTTTGCACCCGGTGTTGGCGGCTCCTCAACATCTGTTCCCAGCCCTCCTGCCCTGGCCCCCCAACCCCCCTCCCCCGACGTAGAACATCTGCACTGCTCGGTCCGCATCGCCCAGTGCAGGGGTGGGTCCCCCGGTCGTGCCGTGCACCCCAGGGCTCCTCTGCACTCGAACCGCTACTGCAGTGCCGCTGTCCAGTTTGACCAATGCAAATGGCAGAGGGGCATTGCTGGCACATGATGGCATATATCACATTGGTGGATGTGCAGGTGAACGAGCCTCTGATAGTGTGGCTGATGTGATTAGGCCCTGTGATGGTGTCCCCTGAATAGATACTTTGGTCAATAGTTTGGTCAAACTGGACAGTCTCTACGTAAAAGAATAAATGGACACAAATCAGATGTCAAGAATTATAACATTCATAAACCAGTCGGAGAACACTTCAATCTCTCTGGTCACGCAATCACAGACATGAAGGTCGCTATCTTAAAACAAAAAAACTTCAAATCCAGACTCCAGCGAGAAACTGCTGAATTGGAATTCATTTGCAAATTGGATACTATTAATTTAGGCTTAAATAGAGACTGGGAGTGGCTAAGTCATTATGCAAGGTAGCCTATTTCCCCTTGTTTTTTCCTACCCCCCCCCCCCCAGAAGTTCTGGTTAAACTTGGATTTAAACTTGGAGAGTGGTCAGTTTGGATGAGCTATTGCCAGCAGGAGAGTGAGTTTGTGTGTGTGTGTGTGTGTCCCCGGGAAAAAGGGGGGCGGGGGGTGAGAAAGCCTGGATTTGTGCTGGACATGGCCCACCTTGATTACCATGCACATTGTAGGGAGAGTGGTCACTTTGGATGAGCTATTACCAGCAGGATAGTGAGTTTGTGTGTGTGTGTTTTTTGGAGGGGGGTGAGGGGGTGAGAGAACCTGGATTTGTGCAGGAAATGGCCCACCTTGATTATCATGCACATTGTGTAGAGAGTTGTCACTTTGGATGGGCTATTACCAGCAGGAGAGTGAGTTTGTGTGTGGGGGGGTGGAGGGTGAGAAAACCTGGATTTGTGCTGGAAATGGCCCAACTTGATGATCACTTTAGATAAGCTATTACCAGCAGGACAGTGGGGTGGGAGGAGGTATTGTTTCATGATCTCTGTGTGTATATAAAGTCTGCTGCAGTTTCCACGGTATGCATCCGATGAAGTGAGCTGTAGCTCACGAAAGCTCATGCTCAAATAAATTGGTTAGTCTCTAAGGTGCCACAAGTACTCCTTTTCTTATAGCTAACAAAATTAACCATAGAAATGTAGGGCTGCAAGGGATTTTTAGAGGTCATCAAGTCCAGCCTCCTGCAGTGGGGCAGGACTAAGCCAGCCTAGCCCACCACCCTGACAGGCGGATGCACAGCTATAGTTTGCTTTACCCTTAGCACTAAGCACCATTTTTTAAAAGGCCATTTAGGCACCTAACTACCATTGCAGTAGTTGTACCGAACAGCAGGCCAACCCCACATGACAAAATACTTCAGTGACCTGTCAGCATTCCTTGGGCTTCAATGACACCACTCCCACCTTGAAACAAGCTCCCACCCCTGAGAACTTTCTCCCACGGTGATGTTCAAGAAACAGAAAAGTGGGAGTGCTTGGAGTCCTTTTTGTAACCTATGCAGGTGTTGCTGGCTGAAAGGGGCTATAGCAGGGCAAAGTATTTCTACCAAGCAAACCTGTACAGGGAGTGGAGGAAAGCTCGAAGCATTTTCAGCTACCAACTGTGAGAAAGATGCCAGAGTTGTTGTGTAGGTTTAGAGCTGCTGTTTATGCCACAGAGCACCGGGGGGGGGGGGGGGGGAATGCTACCCTCTGCTCAGCATGCCTTTCCACACCTGGCAGCATTTGAGAAGTAGAAATATGGACACTTGGGAAGACAAACATTGGCACCTTGCTCCTTTAAATACATCAGGCTAGAAGAGCAGAGTGTGGGGAAAAGGTCCATAGCAGAGACAGGACTAGAACCCTTTCTTTTGCACCAACCACTGGATCCCCTGGCCCAACTTCTGTCACGTGGGGCAAATCTAGAGTAACGGCCGTGACCTCTCTGGAGTTACGCTAGGTTCATGCTGGGGTAACTGAGAAAGAATGTTAGCCCACTGCCTAGACACAGTGTAAAGTGCAGTGTGTGCAGTATATTGTGTACAGCACAGTGCACACGATGGAGGCACCTGGCATCTTTAATAAGGCATGTTTCCATGGCAATGAGAACCTGGAGCCTGCAGCCGCCAATTCACTCGCAGCTGCACAGCGATCCTAGTCTCCCCGCCCGCCATGTCCCTCAGTCTTCCAGAGCTCCCCTTCCTGTACACTCCCAGCCAAGCCGACCCACCCAAAGCCCCTGTCCCACCCACCCAAGCTCTCCCAGGTCCCCTTTCCCCAAGACCCATCCTCCACCCAGACACATACCCTCTTGCACAATGCAAATGCTGGTGTTCATCACCCTTCCCCCACCCCAATCCTCCAACCTCTTTGCCCTTCATGAAGCTATTGGGCCAAGTTCAGCCCTGGTACAGGCAGAGGTGTCATGTTGGGGCTGATGCGATCCAAGCAGCATAAACGGTCTAACAGAAGGCACTCTCCCCGCAGTTACCTCGGGTGGGGGTCAATAGAGCATTGCTCACTGGGGCCCCTTCCTGGTGCATATTCATGATTAGAGCCTTTTGTTATGTCTGGCCACGATCTAGGCCCAGAGCGGAACACGGGGCAATGTTAATGTGTAACATGGGGGCATGGGGGGGGTCACTTAACGTTTAATCAACAGGCTTGAAATGTTAGGAAGGAAACGTGTTCACAACAGAGGATTTACAAAGTCAAGGTGATGTGGAGAGTAGAACCATAACCAACATCTTCACCTGGGTTCCAGCAGCCTCCAGCCCGGCCTGAGAGCACCCTGGAGACGAGCGACGACTTTCTCCTTTCCGCTCCGTGCATCCCAGAAAACGCCTTCCCGATTGCACAGCGTCTCTGCCCGACTCTTCATCCCAGCCCGAGGGAGCCCCCTTGAAGAGGCTAAGAGACCTGGGCCCTTTCTCATCAGACCATGGCAACTGGCTCCGTGGCCCTTGGACTGGTGCTGGCTCCCATGGGATGGGTCTTGCTGCTGGCAGCCACGGTGACCCCGCAGTGGAGAGAATTCTCCAGGCGGCCCGGCTTCCCACGGGACGTTTCCTTCAGCGATGGTCTGTGGGAAAGCTGCGTGGAGGTGATCGGCCTGCCGGGCAGGGCGTGCCAACCCATCCCCCAGGAGACTGCCATCTCCTGGCTCATGCAGATGCTGAGAGCACTCACTGTCATCTCAGTGCTTACAGGGGTCCTGAGCTACTCTCTAGCCCATGTGGGGGTGCGCTGGTGGACAGACCAGCCCAACCCTGAGCTTACGGGAACTGCTGGACTCCTGCTGGTTCTCTCTGGAGCCATGTATCTATGCGCCACATCTTACATGGCTTACGAAGTCCTAGAGAACATGGCCAACCCCCAGACCCCCGCAGGGGACAAGTTCCGGCTCGGGACCTGTCTCTACCTTGGCTGGAGCGGCGGAGTAGCTGAGATCGTGGCTGGCATCTGTCTGGCTGTCAATTTCCAAAGGAAGGAGGAAAGCAGCTCAGGGAATGTGGCGGCTCCTTATGAGGTGGATTACTGAGGGGGGGGCTATCAGGAAGCTGGAAGAGGAAACTGAGGGGGTTGGGAACTGTTCTCTGGGGGATTACAACTGTCTTTTCCTTGTGCACTGAGTCCATGTGGGTCTCCTGCTGTAGCTGCTTGAGCATGACTGTGCCTTTACCCTGCTGCGCTAGGATCAAGCTGCACATCTTCAACCCCGCAGGACTGGCATTGCTGGTAACAGGGATGTACAGGCTGGCCAGGCAGGGAAAATCAACACCCTCAATCAAGCTGATTTTAAAGATGGGCTGATGATCGTCTCCCTAATGAGGTGTCTCAGGGGCCGTGCCAACTTTGGGGTTTTACCAGCCTGTAGGTTTGTCTCCCTGATGCTACTTGAAAACTGCCCCCCCCCCACAACCAGGGGGAAAGGGCTGAGGGAGGGTGCAGCAGAAGGGGAGTGCACACTTCCAGCTGTGTCACATCTGTAAGGGGCAGGGGAAGCACAGTGAGAGCAGCTTTGGGGGGAACTGGGGTGTAGAACTGGCAGTGGGGGCTGACCCAGAGGTAATCCAGCCGAAGCAAATTGATAAGGGAGGAGCATAGCTGGCAGCAGAGTCGGGACTCTCCAAGCACAGATTTGATAGGGGTGGGATGGTGCCTGCTGCTGCTGGTGGAGGGTGGGAAGGAGGCATGCAAATGCTTCTGGTCCTCAAGCAGAGGCCAGCGGTGTTCAGCTGCTCTCCCTGGGCCCGGCCCTAGCTGGGCTCTGCTCTGGTCTGAGGCCCTGGAAGTGCTCAGGTAACACAACACATGATGACATCACCCACCTCCAGAGCACCCTAGCATAGTCCCTCTCTTTGAGGGTCACCTTATTTCCTCTTGAGAGGGGCTGAATATCCCTCCAGGCAGGAGAGGCCAGCCCCTGAAGCGAGATGAAAGCAAGGAAAGAGGGGTAGAGAGAGACTATTGCACAGAGGGGTTTGGGATCCTGTCTCTATGGAGCCAGCTACTCCCTGCATTGTAGAGACAAGCTGCTATTCCAAAACTTAAAATAAGAAAAGGAGGCAAAGCTGGACCTGTCATCAACGCAGTTTTATTCATGGCCTAAGAAAACCAACCTTGCCTGGTTCAGGCAACCCCTGTCTATTCCAGCTATAAGTGGCCAAATGCAGAGAGGTTAAGGATGGAACAGAGAAGTGGTTGGATCATACATAAAACTGAACCTCTGCTGTATATAAATCTGGCAGGGGAGAGTGCTTAGAAAAAAAAACCAGCTTTGACAATAGAAAAATAGAACAATGGCTGCTTTCCTTTCTCAGAAGCTCGCAAGGGATGGAGGGATCTTCCCCATCCCAACAGGAACAAGCCCAGAGCCTAGCTGAGACTGGAGGTACTGAATTAGAGCGAGGTGGTGAGCAAGGGAACAGCTTAATGCCCTGGTGAGCCAGTTCCGGCTGTCCGGAAAGCTGGGGCAGCAGAACCAAGCAGCGAGGGTGGTAACTTTAGGGTGAAGGCACGCTCAGGCAACAAAGCCTATTGAAAGCAAGAGGAAGACTCTCCCTGAGCTTCCAAATGGACTCCAGTCCTGGCAGCTGCTGAAGATAATGAGATGATGGAGGCTCAACCGTCTCCTGCCCTAAGCAGCCAAGGAAATGCCTGTTAGAGGCAGCTTCTGGTTCACATGTAGGGGGACAGGGTGGGTGCATTTCAGTAGCTCAAACCTGGGTCCCTGTAAGAGTTGACGTTAGCTAGAACAGGCCCTGAACTGATTTGCCAGCAAAGGAAAGGGACTTGGGGTCAGGCACTTGATTAACAAAAAATAAAAATGGCAAAGTTAAAATACTAGAACACAGCTGGATCTTTTACTTCAAATTACTGGCAGGGCTGTAGCGAGCCAGCTGCTGTCAGCCTGTCGACGCTGCGTCAGGAGTGAGCCTCCCAGCCCGTCTCCTCAGACTTGTCTACACAGCTGTTTTTACAGCACTAGCCCTCTGCGGCTCAGACTGGCGCTTGGGCTCTGACAACTGGGGGATGAAGGGGAAGCAATGTTAAAGTGACATCTACACAGCTCATTTTAGAGCCGTAACGGGAACCCTGACAGCACACGTCTCGTGGGGGGGGAATGTCGGCTCGCTTTCCAATGCACGGTAGACTGGTCCAGGATGTTTAAACAGAACAACGCAGAGCTCACTCAACAGCAAACACATCCCTCGCCTTCGAGGGGAGCTGGATCAGATCTTTATTCGGGCTCAGACTGCCAGCCTACATCTGTAACAAGGCCTTGCAGCAGGGGAGCTCAAAGAGCTTTGGCCACATGAATAAATGAAAGTATACAGCAGCTTTGTGAGGCAGATCTGTCTTATCCCCTTTTACATATAGGGAAACTAAGGCAATCGCCCAAGGTCACACTTGGAGTTAGTAGCAAGAACACAGAATGGCACTTAAAGAGTCTGACTCTGTCCACTCACAAATACTGTTACACAGAATTATTTGTACATATATGAAAACCAGCCTTTCTTTATCAAATGAATATTTACCGCCGCAAGCAGAGCCAGAGGGGGCCAGGCAGCACTTCTCTGATCCTTCTATCCATAAAAGATCTTCCATCACACGGGCTCTTGGTTCTGATCGGGCTCTGGATGGATGTCGAGTGATGAGAAATGCCAAGGCATCAACATGTTGAATATCCCAGTCTCAGAATTATACCCAAAGGGACTGTTCTGGCCTCACAGAGTTGGGGTCAGTTAGTCAGTGAAGTATATGGATGCAGATTAATTAAACCATCACTGGCAAATGGAAACAGCAGTTCTTTTAAAACAAGCAATTCTCTTTAGACCCAACCGAGGATCCATTCCGAGAATTCCTCCCTCAGTCCTCGGAATTACAAGGCTTTGTCAAAAGTGGTTCCCTACATAAAATCCTGCTCTAAGGTGTCTTAAACGGGGTCTTTAAAATGCATCCCACTTTCCAGTTACATTGACGCACTGCGTGTTGTGAGCAAGCAGCATTCCTCCTTGCTCTCAGAGCACCATGTTTCTTCATGGGACAGAGATGACAGGACTCTCTCTCTGGAATGAGAGGAGGACGTGTTATTCCCTGCAGTGAGGTTCATGAAGGGAACGTTATTGCCCGGGATCTGCCTTGTTTCCATGTGTTACGGCCTCGCACCGGCAGCTTCCTGTGGACTGGATTCAGCACCAAGTTCTGCTTCTAGACCTTCAGCCTGGCCTGGCTGGTGCACCCACCACTGGTGGATTTCCTGGTATAACTCCTGATGCTCTTCTTTCCAGTGTCTGAATTTCTCTGAGGTCAGTTCCGAGTCGTTCAGGAGCTGATTGAGGATCTGGAGCTCAGCCAACTTCGCCTGCAAAAGGAAAAGAACATTCCCCACGGCTCAGTGCTTGTGCGTCAGAGGGCATTACACGGCGAGGGGGCTTGAACGTTTCACCTACTTTGAGCGTGCTTTGCAGGGCCCGGACCAGGTGAACCCTCTCGTTGATCTGGGGGTTTTTGTTGCGCTTGATGAAGGATTTGCGGTACTGCTCGTGGGTCACGAGCTGGCACGTGCCGATGAGAGACACCCCGCCTTGCTTCAGACACTTAATTAGGGACTCCAGTTCTTCGCCAGGGGAGTCTGCATAAGGCGGGGGGAGGAAGGGGGCGGGGGAAAAGACCCACAGCAGATAGAGTTAGAGTGGGGCTGGAACAGCCTCTGTGCCAGGGTGATGGACTTGTGGGGAGCAGGTGATGCCTGCTGCGAGGATGGCCCCAAGCAGATCAGGCTTCGGCACGACAGCCCGTTCAGGACCCTGGTTCTCCGTGGTCAAGAGGGTTATAAGAACGTCCACAGATGGCGCTGGAGAAATACGACATTCCCCAGACACAGCGGCTAGCTCATGGAACGGCATGTTGGTGCCACAACAGGATCTATGGCCCTTTGGACATTCTGACACCAATCGTACGGGGACACACCAGACCAGATCCTGGGGGGAGGCTGAACAGAAAGGGGATGGGTGGGGTGTCCATAGGAGATTCTCCACAACAAAGGAGAAGCCCTGACAACCCCTCCCCCGCCCTCCATTCAGCACTCTCCCGCCGACCTGCCCCAGAAAGGACCCACTTGTGTAACACCCCCCGCCCCCGCCCCCCGGAGCCCGCTCTGCTTGAGCGAAAGAACCAACTTTGTGAGCAGAGTCTGCCGTGGGTTCACTAACTGCTTTACCTGGATCAGTCACCAGGGGGCCACACTGAGCACAGGTGACGCACAGCGGCCCTAAATCCAGGCTTGATCTCACTAGCACTTACCCAGGGGCGAGCAGGGCCTGCCACTGCCAGGGACGGGGCTCCCCACTGGGCCGGTGGAGTCAGGGCTCCCCATTGCAGCACTGGGATGGGCTCTCTCCAGCGTGGTGAGCAGCTCCCTTCTCCTTGGCAGCTGGGGAAGAACATTTCTGTTTAAAGACCCGCCCCGCCCCCCAACAGCAAGGAAGGTTGGGAAGAGCCACCGTCCTCTCGCCCTTTGCCGAGCCGCGTTTGACACCCGCGACGCAGCCCCGCCCGCCAGCATCCGCAAAGGGAGGGCCAACAGCTGATCCCATGTCCCATCACACAGGGCCAGGCTCTCCCCGGCTGGACGGTAGAGTCCACCCCCGTCCCCGGTGACGCTCACCAGATCAGAGCCAGGCTTGGGAGAGTCGTCGTCAAGATCCTCAGCTTCCGTCTCACTGTAGCAGTCTGGCGGGAGACGCGCAGAGGGGACTATCAGCGGGAAAGCCTGGACCAGCCACCACCCTTTGCTCCTGCCCAGCACAAGCTGCCCTTCTCCAGCGCCTTCTATCCAAGGATCTCACCGCACTTTAGCGAGAAGAAGGGGCCCAGCCTGCCAGCTGGGGATGATCCCCATGGAGTGGGAAGGTGGGGCAAGGCCTCTTGGTCCCCAAGCTGGCCATCTAACCATTAGGCCGCACTGTGTCTTGTCACCCAACATCGCTCCAGCCCTGCTGCCCCTTGTTGACTGGAGGATTCATGGCTCAGCAATAGGATTCTCGTCTTCACCCCCTCCCCACCGTAAGGTGCAGCAAGCTGCTCCCAGGCCAGGAAAGGAAAGACTGGGAGCTGGAACAGAGCCTGGCTCGCCCACATCTTTGGATTCTTGGTCTCAAAGCGGGGAGGAGTGGGGGGTGCCAGCAGTCAATGCAGAGCAGGACCCTTTCCCCCGACCCCTGTACCCCAAACTCACCACCTTTTTCAGGGGTGTCCCTCTTTAGTCTCAAAGGTCCTACCCTGCACACAAAGTTGGGGTCCCCTCGCTTTTGTCAAAAGGCCCATGAATCAGCAATCACTGCACGGAGTCCCAATGCCAGCGGGATGGATCCCGCCACATTGCAGGTCTCCCACGCGAATCGCTCGTGTGTGATCCTCCTTTCGGATCTCGGTCACCGTGCATTTGGGCCTTCACCAGCTGAGCACAGAACTCTGGAGAAGAGACCAGACCCTAGGGTGCCACAGGGCCCACGCTGACCCCCAAGCCAGAGGCAGTGAGGACTGACTGGTCTCCAAGATCCAAGAGCTTTGGTTCCCCACCAGTACTTAAAATGTCTGTGTGCACCCGTGCCGGGGGGGGGAATAGTGGGGGTTACAGACCCAGCCAATTGAAAACAGAGCAGTGTCCTGAGGGGTGCACTTTAAGCATTGTCTTCCTGAAGCAGCTGCTCCCAGATTACGAGAGAGACACCCCCCCCCCCAGCTCACATAGATACGGGAGTGGAGCCCACTGGAGTCAGGAGGATTCTGGGAGGGGCTCATCCAGTCACCCTGTAGGGACATGGCATGTAATAGCTGGTTCACATGTGGGGTTCCAGCCCTGTTCAGCAAGGTGCCTGGTTCCTACCTTCTTCTCTATGCGGGAGCGATTCCTGGGCCAGCTTGTATTTGGTTTTTGCGGTGATCAAACCACTCACCCACCTGGGAAGATGAACAGATCACGGACAGTCACCAAAGAGACCCCCTCCCAGGTTCCCAGGCACTTCCCCTTCCATCACATGCACCCCTCATGTGTGGCGAAAGCCATCTCAGACCAATGCGTCTCCAGCCTTTTCCTTCTGCAACCCGTTGGGAATGAGAGATCCGGCCCTCTTCCACAGCCACCTCCCTTCCTGGCAGCCCAAACCCTCCAAAGCATGGTCCCCACAGCATTTTAGTCTGTGGCCCATTGGGGCGGGTTCCACAAATCACAGCCTGAGAACCACGGCCCTCACTGAATCGTACCGGCCATTTGGACACAGCCTCCAGTGACCACAGGAACTGTGGATTCAGGCTGGTTCAGTCCCTCCCGAGAATGCTGGAGTTTAACTGCATCCGGGTATTTTAGCAAGCAAGGAGAGGGGTTTTGTGGCCAGTCATGGTTTGCATGGATCACCGCAGGGTGTTTACTTAGCGATGTCAAATTCATGCAGGGACAGCCTGGCCTGCCCCAACCCGGCCCGGCTACTTACATGCTCAGATCAGCCAGAGTCTCTGCTGCGAAGACGAAAGGTTTGTACTTCTCATGGCAGAGCTGGAAGACACTGAAAGAAGAACAAGGATGCGGCTGCATTTTCCACAAATTCCTCCCGTATTAGCGGGCAGCTGTAACTACCCCCTAGTTAAGAGTGAAACAGGTGTCCCATTCTTAGCCCCATTTCCAGCCTCCCCCGGGGCTAGCTGGGCTCTGCTGAAACACATGTTCGCCCTTAACTTTCAACAGACCCTTTTATTTGGGATTTTTAAATTCCCCCCTCCCGACAGTCATCAAATCCAAACCCATCCGCAAGGAGCAGTCTGGAGAGCGCCTTCCCCTCTAGGCAGTTCTCTACAGCTCCACCTCGCAGATGGCTCTCCTGCACTATGCCCTACAGCGCCTGCTGCTGGGAGGGGGCTGCTTGTTTCCCCTACAGCACTGTTACTCAGCGCCTCCTGCTGGAGAGGCGGGGACTGGAGCAGCTGGGAGCTTCTCCCCACACAGAGCTCCTGCACCGTTGCGTACGGCTAATCGGCTTGGCACCAAGCGCTCCGACGGATGTGCTGCCCTACGGAGAGCGCTCCCACGCCATCCGTGCTTCAGGGTCCTCCTCTCCCAGGTTAAATTCGCCCTCCTCTCCCGAAGCTGAGGTCTCTGCTCAGCATCTCCCGTACTCACTATTTCTTCTTCTGCTCCCGGGTGCTTTCCAGGTCGTAGGTCGACACGTTGATCAGGCCCACGGCTTTCTCGTCCTGGGCGGTGAAACAAGGGGCACGTCACACACAGGGGGCTTTGCTGCCGTTGGCATTTAGAAGCAAGATTCATTTGGTTTTGGGGCATCATATGGGACTCTGTGGCCAGGAGAGCCACTGTACCAAGAAGGTAAATCAACGTCATGCTGTCCTTGGGTATTATAACAATAAAGAATAATCCCCAGCTCTTCTTATCTGGCCTTTCAGTACATAGACCTGAATGCACTTTCCAGAAGAGATCAGGCTTCTCCTTAGAAATGGGGTTGGTGGAGTCAGAGAGTGGGGAAAAAGCCCACAAAGCTGGTGCAGGATCCACCTTCTTCCAGCCCTCTCTGTGGGGCTGTTACACCCACCCACCCCTCTTACAGATCACCTCTGAATTTGGCTCACTGAGTTATCGGAGCGTAGAGGAGTCTCATTTGGGGACATGCACCAACTGGGCCAGGAGAGAAGGTGCCGCTAACGGGAGGGAGAGGCACAGAAATCTCTCCCCCCTTCTCTGAACTTCTGATTCCTCGGCACACCTGCAAAGACTCCCTAACCCAACAGTGGCTGGGCTGACCTAGGCCTGGGGCAGTCCAATGGGCTCTGAGCATAGCGAACTCTAACTTGTCTCACTTTACACGGTCCCTGTAGATTTGTCTCAGGATCTCTGGAGTCCAGCAGCCAACACCCTCTTCCCTCCCGCCCTAAGCCCCCTGAGGACACAGCACCTCTGTATACCCCCCGACCTGCCCCTTTCCACTAATCCCCAGCGTTGAGGGACACACTCACACTGGGCTGGTTGTACCAGTAGAGAATGTGGCCCTTCAGCACAAACCAGCAGCGTTTCCATTTCTGGGACATGAATCCCACGTGGTCTTTCTTCTTCAGGAGCCAGCCGTCGCAGTCCACCTTGCCCAGCTCCCGACAGGACACCCGCCGGCGGCTCAGCCTGGTAGCCACTCCTGCAAGGAAGGAGGAGAGGGGGGCAGTGGGAGTGAGGCACAGCGAGGGGAGCTCTCTCCAAAAGAGGAGCCACCCGCTTCCCATGAATCCTGCCCCAGCCCTGCCCCGACAGCAGTCTCATAGTGGCTTCCCTGCAAGGCTCCCCCACCCCCTGCGCCCTCTCACCACTAGGGGATAGCAGAGACACAGAGGAGCCCTGTAGGGCAGTGGGGAAAGTCCCATGCTTTTTGGTGCAGGACAATGGTGAGCCTGGGCCCTAGCTGCTCCCGCCCGTAAATGCGCCGGCCATTCATCCCAGTCTGCCTCTGGTCAAAAGGAAATAAGCTTGGTGGTTCTCAGCCAAGCCCCTGGAGGGACTCTCTCCATCCCCCAAAACCACTATGGACTGCAGCAGCTGGCAGCCAGCTGCAAGGAGATGGGGAAGGAGCTGCACTGGCGGGGGAAGAGAGGGGACTGGAACAGCACAGCCGGCTGGCACTAGGCCTGGCTCGGCCCAGTGCTGAGCCCCTTGCTTCCGCGGCAGAAGCTCACCAAGGAGCAGAGGACGGAGGGAGGAAGGGTGGGGCGGGGAAGAGAAAGGATCAGAGCAGGTTCTCCCAGCCCCAGGCTCAGAACAGAAACACCCGGATTCTGCTCCGCAGCCAAGAGAAGCAGCACCAGACGGACACCACTTCTGCAGCCCCGAGCACCACGTCTGGCCCTTCCTTCCGGGGCTCTGCAGCCTGAGTGCGTTCTGCATCTCGCGGCCAAACGGCACAGAACGCCGGGTAGCCACATCCCACGGGACCCCTCTTCCCTCTGGGCTGTGTGGCCAAGCAGGGCCGGCCTTAGGGAAATCGCACCCTGGGCAAATGTGCATTTTGGTGCCCTTGGCCCCCGTGGGTATGGTGCCCTCCCCCCCATTGCCCCTGGCCCTCAAGGGCTTCCCGGGATCCCCACTCTCCCTTCACTCCTAACCCCTGCACTGTGTCCCCTTCACCCCTAACACTCCTGCATCCCCCCTCCGGCGCTCCCCCGCTGGACTGCTGCTCCTCTGCCCCACGCACCCCTAGGGGGCTGGGGGGGGGGGCGGAGGGAGCGAGGAGAGAGAGCGTGCGTGCGCGCGCCTGAGTGAGTAGGAGCGTGCTGTCTCTTTAAGAAAGCCCTCAGGATCAGGAGCCTGAAGGCTTGTTCAGACACAGGCAGCTGCCCGACCCAGAGAGGCAGCAGCATGGACAGATTCCCCCCCCCCCCGTCCTGTCACCCCAGCTCAGTGCAGACCGGGTTCATGGGTGGGGGGAGGGGGACACCCCGACAGCAGCCTCGCCCCCATCTCTCTGCACAGTAAACAGGACACTCCCAGTGCCGAGCAGCAGGAGGGAGGAGGGGCAGCCCTGATCAGGAGGAGTCACCTGGCTGGTTGTCCAACTGCCCCCCTGCAGCTCAGGTCCCCCCCGCCCCCTCCAGACGCTGCTGCTCACCCCGTCAGCCCCCGGGACTCAGGCAAACCCTGCGCACGGCACCCTCCTTGGCGGGCTGCCCTGGGCCACCGGCCCTGTGGCCAAGTTAATGTGCAACCTAAGAATGCGCCTTGGGCCTGGGGAAAAACAATCCTTTGTGAAAGGGGAGGAAATGCTCCAATCCCCTGGTTAACTCAAAATGCTCAAGATTGTCAAACCCACAGGGGGACGGGAGGAGGCCACTCACCTTTCTGCCTGGAGCAACTCTTGGTGCTGCTCTAAAAGGGATGGAGAGGACACAGATACATGTGGTTACAAAGATCCTGGCCATGCAAGCAACTCACTAGGCTTTTGGGAGGCAGACGATAAAGTGAAGGAGACGCCATTGTCTATGGCACTGGCCTGCCAGTGGAGAGCAGACAATGCACTCGCTGGCTGGCCGTTGTATGCGGGAAATGGCTGGGCGATCATAGCTTTCTTGCTTAGAGCACCCGGGGCTATAGCTGGTTCAGCATGCAGCTGCCTGCCCACCAGGTGACATTAACTGCAGGGTAGGGTATACTCCCAATGACTTCATTGGGAACAGAAATAGGCCAGCCCTGAGCACATTTGAAAATCCCAATCATTTTTAAGGATGAAGATGAGGGTCCTGTTAAGTTATTTGCCTCAGACATCCTGCAGCAGTGAGTTCCACAAGTTCACCACACACAAAGTTAAAGATTTTTTCCCTCTCATCTCAGTTTTATATTTGTTGCCTTTTAAATTTCTAATGGAGTTCCTTCTGGTCTAACAGGGGAGGGACATTAGGAGCCCATGTGGCCTTCTCAACCCCATCCATGTTTATCTTAGTCGTGTGTGCTGCATTAGTGCCTAGAGGCCTCAGCCACCTCAGGCCCAGGGGGTTGTCACTGTACAGACACACAGGAAGAGACTGGCCTAGGCTCATTCGCTCTCCTCTCACCTTGTTTGGAAGAGCGGGAGATTCTGGTCCCCGACTTCTGCTCCCAATTCCGTTCTCTGGGGACTCCTTAGATCCGAGTTCCAAGGTGCTGGGTCTGGCTGGAGCGACAGCAACGGGGGAGCTGCGCCCTTCAAATCCTGCCCCCAAAGCTTGGATCTCCAACGTAGGGGCTGCTGAACCACCTGCAAAGATCAAACTGGTCAGGGGGACTCCAACACCTCTGAGCCACATAGCGATTTGTATTTCACTCGCACGGAGAGGTCAGACAGCTGGTTAAAAATTTAGGGCCAGATCCCCAGCTGGCCCCACTAAAGCCTCTATTCTGTAACATGAGCGCCATTCCAGTTGCTCAAGCCCTGAGGTTTGCAAGGGGCCTACCCTTTAAGGCTTGAAGCGCAGTATCGTCCATGCCACATTTTACCCGAACACTGTAGTCTCAACTCACTTCCCCCACCCCATGGCCATGTAAACCAAACAAGCTCTGTGGGGAAGCTGGCCCTCCAGAACCAATGTTACCACATGCTCTGCATGTGCCCTACATGGAGCACCTTTGCACATATCACACAATGGATAATCTCTCAGGAGATCTCCGGGAATCTTAGTTGATGAAAGTTTCAGAAGAGCCCTGCAAGGAGGGTACTATCAGTATTGTTTTACACATGGGGAAACTGAGGCACAGCATTGTTAAGGGACTTGCTTAAAGTTGCACAGTGAGTCAGCACCCAAGCCAGGAAGAGACGCCGGATACCCAGGCCTCCGCTCCAAGCAGTCGGCAGCACTCTTTAGACCTGCCCTGACTCCAGTCGGCTTGGTCCCTTTCCTGACTTACTTATATCACAGTAGCACAAAGAGGATCAGATAGGGCCTCAAATGTGCACGGCGCTGTATGGGAGGCAGACAGAGTGTCCGGGGCAGGCGCCATTTATAACAGGAGTCCCAGTCACAGGTGCTGACATTTTTCCTTGGTGGGTGCTCCATCCCCGCTCTGGCCTGAGGCCCTGCCCCCTCTCCATCCCTTCCCCCACGGTGCCCCTTCCCTCCCCCAGCACCTTCTGCCAGCTGCTCCCTGCTCTGCTGGCAGCACTGGGGCCCTGCTGAACAGCTGTGGCTGGTGGGTGCTGAGGACCCCCTATTCTTCCCCCCACCCCACGGGTGCTCGAGCCCCAGAGCACCCACGGAGTCGGCACCTATGGTCCCAGTGTTGCTCTGCACAGGGCACAGGACTCTCAGCCAAGTATCTGCCCACAATCCAGTCCCACTAACCTGCAACAAGCAGAGCTCGCACCAGTGTGGAAAGCCTTTCAGAGGAGGGCTTGCTGCTTTCCACAGGATGCAGAGGGCATCTGCTCTCTCCTACCTTCAGCGGGGAGTTGCCGTAGGAAGTCCCTGGTCTCCTCTCTGGGGTGGCTTGAGACAAACTCCTCCTCTTCGTCAGTGGCGAGATCCAGCGCAGAGTCCAGCCCCGATTCCAACCCGGCGATCACGCTTCAGGAGAGGAGAAACCTTTAGCTAGCACTTGACAGCAAACCAACCCTGTGGTATGTTTGCTATTCAGCAGGATCGCACCACCCTGCAAGCCCCAACGGTGTGTGGGTGGGAGCGTTTCATCAGAGTTCAGTTCAGCAAAGCAATGTCGGTCGGTGCTGGTCACGTGGGCCGTTTTTACCTTTGGCACCATACGTGCGATCTAGGAGCTGATGCTGCATCATTTTCCTCTCCCACACAAAATGTTACTTAATGGAAAAGTCAGTGGGGCAAAACAAGTGCGAGGCTCCAGATAAAAACAACATAAAATAAATAAATAAATACTGCCTAGATCTTCTGTGGTGCTTTTCAGCCCTAGATCTCCAAGCACTTCATAAATTATCCCCTGGTGACGGTGATCTTATCAGATCTACCCTCTACCTGAGCAAACCTACAGAAGCAGGGTCTTTGACTTACACCACCGACCGAGAAAAGGTTGGAAGAATTGAGCCTGTTTAGTCTAGAGAAGAGAAGGCTGACAGGGGACAAGATAACAGACTTCAAACACCTACAAGGTTGTGATAAACAGGACTGTGATCAATTGTTTTCCTGAGTCCACTGAGAGTAGGACAAGAAGTAATTGGCTTTGGTTTGCAGCCGGGGAGATTTAGGATTTTTAGGTTAGATATTAGGAAAAGCTTTCTACCTTGGAGGGTGGTGAAGCACTGGAACAGGTTACCTAGGGAGGTTGTGGGAACCCCGTCATCAGAGGCTTTTAAGAACAGGTCAGACAAACACATGTCAAGAATAGTCTAGGACAGGGGTTCTTAGGACAAATTTTTTGATGGCCCAGAGTGCAGCCCCCAACTCTTGCTGGTGGCCACTCTCACACTTTTTCCTAAAATACTTAATTAGCTTTAGGAGAAACAAAGAAAGAGGCACATAGACACGTCCAAATCATCATACCTGATTTCTGCTAGCCAATAAGTCTGTTGTGAAAAGTGAAATTAACAAACATACAGGTATCACTTTTCACAGCAGACTTACTCAGCCCTGCCAAGATTGGGGACAGATTAAGCCCTGGATGAGGGGCTGGGGGAGGCAGCAGGGGGCCAGAGCCTGGGACTGGAGCCCAAAGCCGCCCTGCCAGTGCCTGCCAGCCCACCACCCCAGGGCTGAAGCCAAAAGCCTGAGCACCACCGCCCCAGGGAAGGTGGGGAACTCACCGGCTGCCTGCTCCTCCAGCATTGTGCCCCAAGTGTCTCCAGAGGAGGGCAGGGCGCAACCCTGGCTGGCCGCCCCAGCAGATAACACCAGGGCGGTGCATCCAGGAGCAACAGGGAGAGGGAGGGGCTATTACCCCCCCCCCCCATGGCTGCAAGAAAAGCCCCTAGTGGTCACATCTGAGAGATGCTGATTCTAGGTTTACTGACTTCTGCCTCAGCGCAGGGGGCTCGACTAGACCTCTGAGGTCCCTGCCCGCCCCACCTTTCTGTGATGAACAGACAATGACTCGTCACTCCTCCCAACACAGCCACAGGGCAGAGCCGCTAGAGAGGCCTAGGGAAAGATTAGCAACAGGAAGTCACTTTGGATTAAGGTTCTGGGCTCTTACCTGGAAGGCAGGGAGACCAAGCTTACTGGAGAGTCATTGCTTTCCAAGCCAGGAGATTCTGCAGCACCCAAGAAGCTGCCAGGTGCCTATAAAACAGTCAGCGAATTTCCATCCTGCGCACCACTGGAGCTCAATAGCCGCACAGCAGAGCGGGGTCACCACACTAGTGCTCTTCTGTGTTGCTGGGACAAAGCCTTCAGCACTGAGTCAGAGGAAACTCGGGGCACTTCACAAAAGCATTGACCCGAGATAGGGCCTGGAATGAAAGGGTAGCTGCAGAACTGCTAAGCCCCAGGAAGGAGCCTCCAGCCAGCACAATGAGGCACGCTGGGTGGGGATGGGAGCTGGTGCCCCCTCCAAAAAGACAGCAATGCAGCAACAGCTAGCCCTGGGGACCAGGCAGAGAGGGCCCTGCGATCCACCTCCGAATGCCCAGCACCACTGGGTTCCTAGCCGGTCACTGCCTATCCAGCACAGCAAGTAAAGGTTCAGTCCTCATGCTGGGGGTGTGGGGGTACCGGGTCGGGCTCACCTGATGGCACGGAGACCTGGGGGAACACGGGGACCCCACAGAGGTTAGTGGAATCTTCTTCAGCACCAACGTCACCTGGTTTGGCTTTTCGAGTATTTTCTTTACCAGATTCACTCGAGTCCAACCCACCTACACATGGGATTAGCAGGTCAGTGCTCATTGCCAGCACAGGCCGAATCACACTGAATGGGCTGTTTGAAACAGGCAACTCTGCAAGTCATTCTACTCTGTTACATGGGCTCTGTCAGCTGGTGAGGCCATCAGTTTGATCTCGTGTCTGGTAACTATTACTCTGGACCATGAGCACCGCGAGCCACTGGATTTCAGAAAGGGGATGTTTCTCTCCCTAGGCACCTGGTACAAGCTGTGATCAGGGTTTAGACACCTGCATCTATTACAGCTCCATGGTGCAGACAAGGGAATCTATAGTCGCGTGATTCAGCAACCATGCACTTCACAAGACATCCAGCTAGCCAGCAGCAATCCCACCATGCCCACCAGGGATTCCAAACGACGTGACAACCCAGTTAAACACCTGGCCATCAAAGCAGTTTCGTAAGCTAGTCATCCATGCCCTTCTCATTTCACTGTCCATTTCCGCAGCACCAGCGGCCAAGTCAGAGACATTCAGCTAATAGCCTGCAGTCAGCCAGCCGGTCCTCCCTGTCAGAGGGTCAGCAGGAGGGCCGGCTGAAAATTCTCCATGAAAACTGGTTTTCAATGGAACAATTTTTTCCATTTTTCTAAGTATCTGATTTCTGAGGAAATTGATTTTATTGTTGCTGCAAACCTGAATGCCCATAAAGAGGTTCAGGTTTTGTTCAAATACTGAAACATTTCATTTTGGATAGATCTTTTGTGGTGCCTCATGGGAGCTGTAGTCCAGCTGCTTCATGTCCCCAGTCTCCTCTATATGCTGGGCTTTCCAGCCTGACTACATATCCCATGCTGCATCACAGCCAGAGATGCTGTCATGCACCATCTGCTTTCCCCAAGAGGTGAGACTGGTGCATCATGGGAGATATAGTCCAACTAGGGAGCCCAGGTATAGAGGAGATGGGAGCATGAGAACTCAAATGATAACTCCCAGGGGGTACCGCAGCACCATTGCTGAACCCAGTTGTTTCAGATTTTGATTTTTTGCTGAAAAGTCAACTTTTCTTCCCACAGGAAAAGACCCGTTTTCTGACCAGCTCAAGCAGACAGTCACCCACCTAACCAGATGCTTCACGGTCAAATGGAGAGAACGATTCTGACCCCACTCAAGTGGGCAGTAGAGATTTACGAGGCTAAATTAACTGATGTTTGTAAGCGTGGAGAGCTCAGCCAAGTGCTGGGTGTTGGCCTCTCCCAGCACTGAGCCTGAAACCCTCCTTTCCTCCCCCTCTCTCATCTGGTTTCAGTCTGTTGAGCATGTGGTTTGCCAGAGAGTCAGGGTAGAAACACTGGGTTCCTTACAGCGATTCTACCTGTTTCCTGGGTGTGCCCAAGCACTTGTGTTTAGAATGGAGGAGGGGGAGGGGGAAGCCAGGCTTTGGTGGCATTTGCTTCTCCTCCATGCAGCATGTGAGTCAGAGAGCGAAGAGGGGATGGAGGAAAGAAAAAAAAGCTAGCACCAGGCTTTCTAATAAAGGAAACTAGCCATTCTAGCATCCCAGTGGCATCTGACTCCTACAGTCAAGAGGGTCCAGGGCAATTAAGTGGGAACCAACCAGTCTTAGTAAACATGAGTAGGGATACGTTGCATTGTCATCCAAGGACCTCAGAGCCTTTTATAAAGGGGGAGCCAGCACGATCCCCTTGCCAGGAGGGGGTTCGCGAGGCCCAGAGTTGAAGTGAGTTTTAGCCTGATCCCTTCGGGGCTGGGATCACACCTTCCGTTGGGAAAGAGTCTCGCACATGGGGAGCCCCACCAGACTCAGAGAGAACGAAAGTGACTTGCCAAAGGTGACACAGCGAGTCAGGACTAGAACCCAAAGCCCCCCACTCTAACCAGAGGCCAGGCTGCACCCCCTACTGAGTGTGAGGTTCTTCCCCACTTTAACACAGATGAGGATCAGCCAGGGAAGACCATACACATCAGCCATGATCGCAGCTACACTCAGAGACCCCCTTTCCTAGTAGGATTTTGGCTGTCCCAAGAGACCAGCAAGCTAACGGAGCGAGGACAGGGACATACTTACCACCACCTGCCCGTTGACTTGAACGATCTCATCCCCCGGCAGGATCTGGCTGCAGTCGTCAGCTGGAGACTAGGGGGAGAGGCAAGGAAAAGAGCCGAGCGGTGTCAGAACCGTGCTCGTTGGGAAGCGGAGACAAGCTCTAAAGCCACTTACACTGCGGCCTAATCAGAGTTAAGCAGCTCTCTGGCTGATGTAAGTCAGAGGGGCTCAGGAAAGGGGGATTAACCATTAACTCGCAGGCCTGATCTTTTGGGCGATTCCCGTTCAATCACAGGAGTGAGCGCAGGAGGAGACGACTGAACCAAAGCGCCGGCTGAAGCCTTGGCCAAGGCTAGCGTGACACACGGCCACAAGGCAGCTGAGTAGGAAGGACTCAGCCAAGTCCTGTCCAGTGCAGCCCATGTCCTAGAGCTGGTTCAGGAAGAGGGTTTGGTGCCTTAACAAGCCCAGGGGGTTCTGATACCCAGGGGGAAAATGGATTTTGCTCATTATGGGCCAGTGTAGGTAGGTTTAAGAAGGGGGCTATGTTGGGACACCAGTTCTGAGCCGTCTCCCTGCACCTGCAGGCTGGAAAGACCAAATCAGAAGCCATCTTCCCCCGCCCAGCCCCGACAAATCTCTCACCTTAGTGGCGGTTCCCACTATGAAGTGGAGGCAGGAGTTAGTGGATTTGATCTCGATGCCCTGCAAAGAGGGACAGACAGAGTTTGGAAACGTCAAACGAGTCCCCAGCGTGAGCCAGTGGCGGAGGAGCGGACTCACCAGACTGTCCTCTGGCTCGGTGGGCACGAGGTCGACGCTCTCCAAGATGGCAGTCTGGTTCAGCAGGGCTGCCGGGCTGCAGCTCGAGATGTTCTCACAGATCCCCGCAAGGTGCCTGCACTGAAGGACAGCAGGAGAGACTCATTCCTCCGGAAACCCGCCAGGACCTCACGGCCTCTACAGAAGGGCAGCAGCGACCTCAAGGGTTGCGGAATACACACACACACACACACGGCAGCTGCACAGCCATACTTACAATCAGCAGGATCCGGTTCTCTCTCTCAGACACTCCGCAGTCCTAGAAGAACGAGAGACACGCAATAAGTTAGGTCGATCCAGCTTTTATATGTTGTAACTCCCCGAGATTCTTCCAAGCCAGGAGCTGATCATGACGGCCCTGCTTGGGATGATGGTGGGGATCACAACACAGCCCACAGGTCCCAGGTGCTGGTGGCTCCTCTCCCAATGCCCCGCCCTGTCCCAGAGGGTGCCGTGCCGCTGGCCTCCAGGCGAGACGTAAGGCTGTGTGGTCACGAAAGACTTCTCAGCACTGGTTTTTAAGAGCAGCAGCAGGATTAACCCCAGCATCCTGGCCCGCTTCCAGGGCAGGTTGTTACATTCCACCAGCCTCGACTCCTCCAGCTGTCTCCAACGGAGACGCCATTCTTCACACACTCCCGTCAGTGCCGCCTGGCTCCTCCCAGACAGCGGCTGCGTGTTGCGAGAAAGCCCGTGTTTGGGGGAGGGAAAGCCTGGCCGATCACATCTAGGCCTAAGGAGCACACTGGGATCCTCGAGGACAGGCGATTGGCCCCTGCAGGTGGGCTGATGATACTCATGCTCCCAGAGACGGGTACTCTGCCAAGAGGTCATTTTAGTCTCTGCCATTTAGCCCGGATGGGGGCGGACAGCGCGCAGCCGCCCACGCAGCACCCGACTCCCCAACAATCTGGCTGGGGAGTCACTGGGCGATTGCGCTGAGCCCTCACACGACTCCGTATAGCAACGGAAAGAGGATCCAGGATCCGAGTTGCTGTCGGAGGTACTCCTCGCTCTAAGGACAGACCTTTGAGAGTCTCCTTTTGGCTTCCAGGGGCTTCGGATGAGGCCCCGAGGCCCCACCTCCAGCCTCTTCTTGGGAATTTCACTGGAAGATCAGAGTGACTAAGACAAGAGGAGATTGCTGGAGGGCAGGAGTGGGGAAAACACCCTGGAGATGGGAAATAAGAATGAACTGGTCAACCCAGGCAGCGCACGTGGCGAGAATGTGGGGCAGCCGCTGGGCTAGACACAGAGGGGTGTCTGTCCAGAGGGCAGTCGGTGTTTGGAAGGCTCCGTCCCCTCCCCAAGGGAGAAGAGTCCATTGTTATGGGATGGGGGGCAGGGGGTAATGGGTGAGAGATGCCTTACTGAGGCCATTCTTGCTCAGACACAGTTACACCAACCTCCGGATCTGGGAGCAGAAAGGAATCCCCACCCCGCAGGGCACAATGGCAGGGACCTCCTGGCTTAGCATGGCAGAGGAAGGTGTGAACCACAGCAAGGTAGAGCAGGCAAGGCATTGAGCGCCCTTCTGTTGCACGGGTGGATCTTGGCTCTAACCCTAAAATATCCCAGCAGGCTCTACTTTTAGGTTATTAGTAGGGTCAGTTTCTTCCTGCCCCACAGCCCTAAACCCACCACCTCCTGCCCCGGCCCCCCCAGACCCCGTCCCCTAGCCCTCCACCCCCTCTCCTGCCCCCCAGACCCTGTCCCCTTGCCCTCCATCCCTCTCCCACTCATTTACAAGCCATTAAGGTTTCTCTGAGTCTCCTTTTCCATCTCTCTCCATGTTACAATCTCCCCTCCCCCACCTCACAGCTACCCGTCCCTTCCACGCTTCCAGGCCCTGTTTCCAAAGCCAGAGAAGCCCAGAGCCCATTCCTGACACACCCTCTCCTGCGGGTGCCCCGGACTCTGCATTCCACCCTGAGCAGGCCAGGATCTTTAGGAGAATTATTAGCTCCCAGTACCTGTGGCTCAGCAGAACAGTGTCCCCTGAATCTCTGGTTCGGCCCGTTAGTCTCTCTGCTCCCTTTCGCTCAGCTGAGTCTTATGGACAACTGAGCTCCCCCCAGCCCGGAACCTGATCTCAAAGGGTGAATCACAGGGTTATATAAAGAACAGTTCCCCACCCCCACTTTGATGTTGTTTATCTCCTTGTCCCTTCCCTGCTCACACTCTGGTCATTTTCTCTTTCCTTCCTTGCAGCTGACTGAGCTGTGGCAGGCCAGGGGTCCGATTGCGGATACACCCATGGCTCTCTCATCCCCTATATCCCACGTTCCCCTGGGCAGCACCTCAGAGGCACCGAGCCTTCCCCGGGCATCTCAGGGACACGCGTTCCTTTGGCCAGCTGTGAATCACTGCCATAACCTTTCTATAAAGCAAGGCCATTCCCAAGATAGATACCGACGAGGGCTCAGGTGACCTGATGGCATACACCCCAGGCAAAGCGCGGTCTCTCCACTTGGCATGGATGCTCCACTTCCAGACCTCTCTCCAGGAAGCATTCACAGCATGTTTGCAACACTAAAACCTACTGTCCCTCCCTGATCCTTCCTTGATGGGCTCCTCAGGTACCCATGGACTTGCCCCTAAAGTGGGTTCTTGAAGGAAAGGCGCATGCCTAGGATTTGAACTACCAGCACTGCTGTCGGTGGGTACCTCTTCCTGCTAACCTTCTACTCTAGCTGGAGAGCCCTGCTGGGGTCCAAGAAGTTGTTAGAAGAGTCAGAACATACTTGGGATCCCATTGGGCCCTGTGGACTACAAAGGCCTTGCTGGCTAGAAGGCATGCCGAGACCCGAGTCTGCTTTTACCATCTCGCAGCCTGTGAATGCAAGATGAAGGAGCACTGCAGAAGACGCGTGAACAGAGGAGAACTGGAAGATGAAGGTAGTTAACAGCACTCCTTCCTACTACCCAAATACCACCACTCCGACATACACCCCTTCAGCAGCGACTTGCTTATAGACATGAGTCTAGTGGTTCGAGCAGGAGATGAGGAGCCAGGATTCAGGCATTTTAGTCCTGACACATTGAGCAAATCAGTTCATCTCTGTGCCTCAGTTTCCCTATCTACACATGTGGGTGACCCTGACTTATTTAATAGGGCTTCATTCATGTTTGTAAATCAGTTTGAGAACTGTAGGGAAAGGGAACTATTGAAAGGCAGGGTATGGTTATCTGTTCCATCAGCTGACAGTTTATAATCTCCAGTCAGATTCCTTCTTCTAACACTCTCCATCCTTCCACCAATATCCATTCATCTAAATCAGCTACCGCTAACCCATCCCTGACAGAGGGGACGGCGCCCCGTGTCCGATAAAAACACTTTGGAAGGGCAAATTGTTTGCCTATGAAATGAACCAGATTTCACGGATAAAAATCATAATGCAGAAGGATATGGCTGGGTTCCTCTATAAGCAACAAGCTCCAAATTGGACATTGGGCTAGTCTATCAACACACGCGGCTTTATCCCTGAAAAATATACTATTGAACCAGTGCAAGGTTCACTTGTCTGTTCAGAAGTGGCCCAACATTTAGATGTATGGACACACTAAGAGCAACAGGAAGGTCTCCAGTACAGATTTAAATTGTAATGAAAACACACATTTTTAAACAACATCTACCTGAAGCATTAGTAACCCAAACACTGCAGCAGGGGACAGCCCAAAAGTGAAATGGACTTTGAAACAAACATGAAACAGACATGAGCAATTTTCATTCTCTGAGCTGAGGGAGATGCACAGACAAAGCATGACGAGGGACAAATTAGAGGATGGGAAAGAAGCTTTAAAATCCCAGGGGCTAGTAACACAGTGGTTAAATTGACAGCGTCCAGAATATTTGCTGGTCAAGCAGTGTTGCTGAGACTAAGAGAAAATGTTTTGAATTGAAATAAGAACAAATAAATAGATTCCCCAGTCCCGCTAGGAGTTCACGCTCTCTTGGGAAAGGGGGTATTTATCAGCCAAGGAGGAACATTTTGGAGGGGAGATCCTGATGAAGTTTTGGGAAACATCTCACTGATCGTTTGCTAGTGAGAAAAGTGTGTGCGGTGTGTGTGACTGTCAGTCCTTACACTGTGCTCATCACCATGGTATTTGGGCCACCCTCCTTTTCTGCCCCTCCTACTCTCACTTCCTAGGTCATGAGACACCCCGGCACGACACGAGTACTGAAGAGACGTCACCCATATCCACAGGCCCCCTGCACATCTCAGGGGTAACACACAAACATGCCAACCCTGACACAGTCTGGCTTTGGTTTCTTGGGATTTTTAAACCCTCGTTACTGACCTTCTGCAGGATCTGGGCCAGTTCTCTGCAAAGCGAGACAATGTCCCGGCTGGCTGAGTAATCATTCAGGTGAGAGAAGAGATACCTATGAGGTGCATGAGTGAGACGGAGTCATTAGATAAACGAAGGCAGGAAAGGAGAGGGCCCAACGAGCCTCAAGTTAATTGAGGCACCGTCCTCCCCTCGGGCCAGGGGTTTAAACACAGTCTTCCAGGATTTTATGGAGCTTTCTGAAGGGGCCCCAGTTGGCACAAGCAGCCGGGGATAGAACACAGAGCTCATCGCCTGCAGTGGGCAGCTGCCGGGCGCTCAGTGGAACAAGCTGGGAGTCTCAGTCTTGTTTCTGCCACGCAGGTGTCCACACCCCATAGAGCCACTTCTTCTGTGGGGAGGCTCAGCAAAGGAGTGAGCAGGCTGTGGAGACGAAACTCCCCTCTGGCCCCAAGAGGGGGTCCCTCTAGGGCAGAAGCACACGGGCAGAGGACCCTTGTCCAGCCACTGCCCATGCTGTGCCCTTTCTCTGCACAGAAGGCTCCAGGCTGGCCTGCTGCTGTTTTCACCATCATCAAGAATAGTGTGGTCACAGCCCTCCCCTCCCCAGTCACTGAGCGGAGCCTTGTCCCTCTGTGCTAACAGACCATCCTCCTCTGGCCAGGGAGACACTGGCTGCCACGCAACCAGTCCTGACAGCATTGGTCTGGCATCCCTTTCCACCTCTGGAAAGACTGTGTATGCAAACCCCACAGAAACAGAAGGCCTGTAGCTTGCCCCCCGTGCCATTCAGCGATCCCCTTCCTTATCATGTGGGATCCCTCCTTACGTGGCCCTGGCCTTCCAGTCTCTCCATGCTCTTTCCCTGGCCTCTGCAGACTGGGGAAGCAAGTACCTGCTGAGCCAGGTGAAGAGCCCCTTGGCCGCCGTGATCAGCTCAGCAATGCAGGCCAGGAGGTCCGGGGAGGGCGTCTCGATGGCCTCGCCATCATACGCGGTCACCTTCCTGCGGCTCAGGATGAGGGTCTGGGTGGTCCAAGCGACTTGCTGCAGCTTCTCCGTCAGCGTCCCCAGGCTGGTGGTCTCCAGCTCGTAGTTCTGGGGGAACAATCCAAACTAGCTCGGCAGAGGAGAGAGGAGCCAGCCCTGGAGCGGCTCAGAACGAAGACTGAGGGTGGCAGACACCCCACAACTCTGCACTGCTCCCCAAAACTGCTGGGGGGGGGGGAAATCCACCCATCCCCTGAATCCCAGAGCTCCCTCCCTCTGGGAAGCAAGGCCGCAGGTGAGACCTGGGAGGGAACCCTCTCACGGTCGCTCACCGCAGGCGGTGCTGGAGATCGGGAGCGGGCCTCACTCCAGATTCACGGTCGCTCACTCACCAGCATGCACAGCTGCTCCACAGCTTCCAGAATGAGCTCCTGATGGCCGACACGCCTCAGGCCCAGCTCCTCCAAGCGCCGATAGGACAGCTGCAGCAAATCGTTCCCGGTCAGGGACCACGTCTCAAAGGGATACTGCTGCAGCACCTTGTCCAGGCCTGAAAGGGGCAAACGCAGTCACTGCCCAGCTGCTCCCAGATTGCCCACGTCCAGACATCTGCCACCACCACCTCAGCCTGGATTCCCCCTCTGCTGACAGCTCTGCCAGGCCTTCCTGTCCGCTCGCCTTCACCACCGCCGCTCCCTCAGGGGCACAGGAACTGCCAGGCTCGATCAGAAACCACCTAGGCCAACCTTGGAGAGAGACCAGCACCCGCGGCTTCAGAGCGCGGTGAAGGAACCCTCCTAACCCCAGGAGTTAGAGGCTGGCTCAAGCCCTGAAGCACGCACTTTAACAGCCCTTCCAGAAGAGCATTAACTCGTCTAACTCCAGACATTCCTGTTGTCCACCAAACACATCCAAACCCCTTTGGGGTCTTGCCGAGGTTTTGGCCTCAGACGCATCCTGTGGCAGTGAGTTCCACCATCTCGCTGCGCACTGTGGGGAAAAAATATTTCCTTGTGTCGGTTTTGAGTTTGTCCCCTTTCTGTTTCACTGATGGGCCCCTCGTCCTCGTGTCAGGAGACTGGGAGAACAGAACCTCCGATCTACCTTCTCCCCCATCCCACCAAGTGTGTAACACCAGTTGCCTTCCCTGGCTGCCAGATCTGTTTCCTCCCTACTGGCAGGTCCCCAGAGAGCTGCATATCCACCCACCCCAGCATGTGCACCTCCCTGCATTGGACCGTATATCCTCCCCTAGGAATGCCTCTCCTCCCCCAGGGCAGGGATCCGAGCCGTGCCCAGCCACGCCATGCCCGCATGAGTCTCACCCGCCTCTGCCAGGGCCCCCCAGAAGGTTTCAGCCACTCCTACTCCCAGCAGGTCTTGCACAGCTCCTCCTGCCAGCGCAGACTCTGCCGTGGGAGCGGGCAGCCGCCTGCCCGCCCTAGGGCCTGGAGTGCACCCCCTGGCCACAGGTGCTGGAATGAGGGGTGCTACCACGCCTGATGGCTTGAAGTGGTTTCCATCACACACAGGGTTTACAGTTTGGTTCAATGGCTCTCAGCACCCCCCACCGGACAAACTGTTCCAGCCCCTGGCCAGCCCTGAAACCTCCACCGCACTCACCTCTCAGCCACTGCGCCACCTTCACAGGGCTCCAGGCACCGATGGGCTCCATGCCCAGCTCCCTTCCTGGAAAGTCTGTCCAGGGGCAGGACTCCCGGACACACCTGAGCGGAGGCAGCCCCACCAGGTAAGTCCCAGCCAGCTCTGTGGTTGGTGCAGCTGCCTGCCGCTCAGCAGGGTGAGGCCCGCCCCCCTCTGGAGGTCCCTTGCTCCCCTCCCCATGGGGAATTCCAAGCTCTTAGCAACCCAGCTCAGAACTATTGTCCAGCCTCCAACCTCCTCCAGTCTCACTGATTCAACAAGGTTACACCCAGTCCCCCCCAGGCTGCCTCCTGACTCTCTTAAAGGCACAGACCCACAGTAGGTTGTTTACCTCAGCCCTGGCCAGTGAGGGAGCGTGCCCTAGTGGGCAGAGGGCAGGACTGGGTGCCAGGAGCTCCATCTTCCATCAGAGTCCTCATCTGATCGTGGCCGAGTCACTTACACAACACCTGCTATCTTGGCTGACGTGCCTGGAACCAAAAGGAGGTCTTGTGCAGCTACAACTTGAGCTAAAGAAGCAAGGTCCCCGAGCAGGGGCTGTCACAGGTAGCCTCTGCAGATCCGGCACCTGTAACACATGCTCACCACTGACATTCTGTGTCTCAGTTTCCTCACCTGTAAAATGGGAATAAGTATAGCTGGCCTACCAGCTCATCGCAGGGGAATCATGAGAGTTTAAGTCTGTAAAGTGCTTTAAGATCCTTACAGGAAATGTGTTGTAAAAGTACAAAGTATTATTACTAACAGAGTGTGGCTAAACATCACATCCTCACTCTAAATATTAAAGCAAACACCAGCCTTGATGACTGCATGTCATCCGGGAGCATGTCCTACTGGTTCTTGCAGAGGCTGGCAATTAGAAACGCCTGGATTTTATACCCAGCCACTGCCCCAGTGCATGACCGTGGGCAAGTCACTTAGCCTCAGCTTCCCTCTCTGTAAAATGGATTCACCTTGGTAGATACTTGGAGAAATACAGAATCTTAGAAATGTAGGACTGGAAGGGTCCTCGACTGATCATCTAGTCCTGTCCCCTGCACTGAGGCAGGACTAAGTATCACCTAGACCATCCCTGACAGGTGTTTGTCTAACCCAGTCATACTCAGACTGAGGCTCGCAAGCTGCAGGTGGCTCTTTAATGAGTCTCCGGTGGCTCTTTGCAGCATGTGATATCAAAACACTGTGTGATTTAATTATTAACCAATCTAAGTTCTTAACCAATCAGGGGGCTTTTACTATGTTATTACCCAATTGTAGTTGATAAAATAATAACACCGAGTCAGTCATTTTGCTGTGAGAATCATATACAGTATATATAAATAGTAAATGAACCACGGAATTCACACTACTGTGACTCTGAGGTTTGATTATCACTGGTCTAACCGGTTCTTAAAAACCCCCAGTGACGGAGATTCCACAACCTCCCTAGGCAATTTGTTCCAGTGCTTCACCACCCTGTCGGAAAAGAAGTTTTTCCTGATGCCCCAACCTAAACCGCCCTTACTGCAATTTAAGCCCATTGCTTCTTGTCCCGTCCTCGGTAGATAAGGAGAAAAATTCTTCACCCTCCGCTTTATAACAATCTTTTACATACATGGAGACTGTTATCATAGGTGCCATCTCCGTGGGTGCTCCGGGGCTGGAGCACCCGTGGGGAAAAATTAGTGGGTGCCCCCCCACCTCTCCACCTCCTCCCCTGAGCGCGCACCTTGTCCCCGCTCCTTCCCCCTCCCTCCCAGCGCTTGCCGCTGCCAAACAGCTGTAGCAAACTCCGGGAGCGAGGGGGAGGAGCGGGAACGTGGCGCGCTCAGGGGAGGAGGCGGGGCCGGGGCGGGGATTTGGGGAAGGAGTCCAATAGGGGCAGGGAGGGGGCGGAGTTGGGGTGGGAACTTTGGGGAAGGGGTTGGAATGAGGGCTGGGCAGGGTGGAGTCGGGGCGGGGCCGGAGGCAGAGAGGGCTCGAGCACCCACGGGCGCCATTAGAAGTTGGCGCCTATGACTGTTGTCATGTCCCCCGCCTCAGTCTTCTCTTCTCCAGACTAAACAATTTTTTCAATATTTCCATGTAGATCATGTTTTCTAGACCTTTCATAATTTGTGTTGCTCTCCTCTGCACTTTCTCCAATTTGCGCACCTCTTTCCTGAAGTGCAGTGCCCAGAGCGGGACACAAGACTCCAGCTGAGGCCTTATCAGTGCTGAGTAGAAAGGAAGCAGTACTTCGCGTGTCTTGCTCACAGCACTCTGGCTCATACAGCCCGGAATGATGTTTGCTTGTTTTGCAACAGTGTTGACTCATATTTAGTTTGTGATCCACTATAATCTCCAGATCCTTTTCTGCAGTACTCCTCCCTAGAGAGTCATTTCCCATTTTGTATCTGTGCAATTGATTACTCCGTCCCAAGTGTAATACTTTGCATTTGTCCTTATTGACGTTCAGCCTGTTTATTTCAGACCATTTCTCCAGTTTGTCAAGATCATCAAAAGACCTGTCACAAGAGTTAGCAGTGCACATCCCAGATCTTAGCAGAGTCAGTGTCCTTGTTTTCAGATCCTGTTGGATTATTGCACATCAAGGGGGTGTTGTTAACATCCACAGATATTTCCTGGACATTAATCAGGGTCTCATTTACTATCTATTTACCTTAGGGTTTTATACTGTTGCCCAACATCATAGTATCTGAGCTTCTTCCACGTAAAATCAATAGCAACTTCATGGAGTCTTTAGCATTTCTCCCTCTTTGGGGTCTAAACTCTGCTTGGGTTAGGGTTTGGTTTTTTGTGGGAGTTGGTAGGTGATCGGGACCAAAAGGGGTGTCTGAATTGTAAGTGTCACTTATGGTGGTATGCCTTTAGGGATGTATATTTAGGAAGCCAGAACACTTCCTAAATATACATCCCTAAAAATGGTCAGATTCCGAGTTCACCTAATCTTCTCTGGAAGGCTTTACCCTAACCGGATCCCCTCTGACTAACAACCCCAGGAACGGCTAAGCATGATCCCTCACGTTGTTGCACACACCCTCACTATGGCTCTTCAGAAGCTGGTGAGGTCTCCAGAAAAAACGTCCTCAGTCTCTTCTCAGACTCTGCAGTATCTTGGAGCCTCATAAATAGAGCTGGAATCCAAGTTGCTAAATACAGCTTCTCCTTCATTACACATTGCACAGTTCAACTCTCCAGGACCTCTGGAGGGGAAGCAAATAAGCGTTTCACAGAGGAGCATCTGTAATCATGCATATAAACCCTCTCCATTTAGTGTTAAGTGCTTTCTAGTGAAGTCTAAGGTTTTTTGCACCAAGGTAGTTGGGCCAGTGCAAACCCTCAGAGGAGATGTGCCAGCCAGCGCAAGCCCCACTTTATATCTGTGCTACACTTCTACACCAGGGGGTTGTTTTACTTGTCCAGCCAACGCTCCACACATGGCTAGGGTCAGCTCTCTGTAGAGTTTGCAGCCGTTGCTTGTGCATTGCCTCATTTCCATCAGCCGTGCGAAAGGGGCCCAGACCTTCCCCACCAGCACAGTCCTGCTCCGAGGCAAAGCTGCTCTCATACCCTGCGGTCACTGCAGCCAGCCCCGCAACAGGCTTCCCCTGCCCCACCTGGGCACAACTACCCTCCCCCCCTTCTCTTCTCAGTGCAGTAGCTTCCCAGAGCTACCTCCTCTCTTAGGTCTGCACTACAATCAGTGATAATAAAGGATTCCCCTTCTAATATAGACCTGCCTCCTCCACACCTGCTCAGTGCAGTTATCCAGGTAACAAGGTCCCAGACTTTCTGCTGGGGTTACTCATGACATCCCCTGCAACGGATTACTTTCCCCCTCCCAGTACTGCTCTCCCCTCCCCTCCTCACTATGGGAACATCAGGCATGAGGCGTCTCACGTCGGGCGTCCAAAATCAGAGGCCACTTCTGAGAACTTTGGCCCAAATCTTCCTGTCACAAAAGAAACTCGTTGCTCAAGGGACAAAAGGCCAATGAAATTCTGCCTCTAACAGAAAGCTGCCATGAGGTAGCTGCTGAGAAGAGCAGGCTTGAGTTGGACAATCCCAAGGATGACCCAGACCCAAGGATCCTTGCTCAGACTTAGAGTGACCGTTCCGGATTCCCCTTTGCGGGAGACAGCTCTGACGGGCCTGGCTTGCAGACTCTTTGCTCACACTTCCAGGTCAAAACCTTGATTCTAAAGGAAACAAATGTAACTGGTTTGCTGCTGCTATTCCCTTCTCAGGAGCACCAGGGGGCCCCTGTAAGGATCCAGGAGCTGGTGCATTTTAAAATATAAGGTTATCTAAAACCAAAAACACCAGTGAGGAAAGGGGAGGTAGCCTTGTCTAGTGGTTAGGGCACTAGGCCTGGTCAGTCACGAGATATGGATTCTGTTCCTGGCACCAAAATGAATTTGGCCAACTCACCGCACTGTGCCTCAGTTTCCCCATCTATACAAGAGGGATAATGATGCTTACCCACCTCACGTGGCGTTGTGAGGAGATGTTCATATCTGCTTGGAAAGTGTTTTGCAATCCTAGTGAAGCATGACAGCGGAGGACAAAGCACATGGTAAATTCACGCTCTAGCTAAAGTATTGGGAAAGACCTGAATCATTTCTCTGGATGTTGTTTGGTTCTGTGGAAGCAGCGCACCCTGGAGTCCAATTCTCCTAATTGCATTCGGAGTTCCAATTGAAGGGCTGCATTGACACTGTAACACTTGGACTAGCTTCCTCTCTGCAGCAAAGATTTGAAGGAGTGGCGTGTTACCTCTTTCCCAGTCCCCTGTATGCTGTGCATCCCCCCCCCCCCCACCAAACACACACACACACACCTACCTCGGCAGTGCACGTAGCTGCCACGTTAATCCCCCCTCCCCGGATCCTCACTGGGTTCTTTGTTCTCCCGTCCCATCAGAGGCAGGATCTCCACTGAGGAAAGCGGCGTGGTCTGAGCATAGGACTGGGTGTCAGGGCCTCTAATCCCTGCTCTGACAACGATTTCCTCTTTGACCTTGGGAAAGTCACTCACCCTCTCTGTGCCTCAGTTTCCCCCTCTGTAAAAGGAGATAATACTTGCCTGTTTCCCAGGCCTACAGGCTTCATCCATGTTAGGCCTGGCTGTGCCAGTCAATGACAGTCCCGAGATAATATCCACAAAATACTCAACTCTGTTCTCCATCTTCTGCCCCACCCCCACAGTACTTTCTCCCATGCAAGAACACCCCTTCTCTGTTCGGTTTTGTCAAGCCCTCTCCCACATGCACACACCCTCCCAGTGAGTTTCCTGCCCCCAGAACTGCCTCACTCCCACCCACTCACTCTGCTCTTTGCCCGGGTGGTCTCCAGATCTCTTAGTTACACGGGGGGGGGGACTTTTCCTCTTAGCAGCTCCACAGCCCTGCTCAGGGCTCTGCAGGCCAGCCCAGGAGTCCCACACAGGAAGGTCGAGTTGCCCACTTTTTCTGTTCTTTTTCCCTTTGGAAAACATTGCTGCTCTGCTGAGCGAAGGGGCAGGTCAGCTTGCGAGATGCACCAACAGAGATGACCCTGACCCTGCAAAGCCTCTCCCAGGCAAGTCGACCTTCCTCACCTGAGCTGGCCCCACTGAAGTCAGCTGAGCTCCCGAAAGGTTTTGCAAGATCTGGCTGTTGCAGCCAGCTCCAGTCGCTCACTGGATCCAGGCTGGAAGAGCCACAAGACTCGTCTAGGAAGTCATCTACAGACCCCTTGAGCACTCACCCAGCAGTATCTTCCCTCCTGTGTGGTCAGTGGTGCTGCAGATACTGGTCACCGTGCCGGGCAGACTGTTTGTAGCATGCACTTGGGGTGTTCGGCATCTGAGATCTGCAGGGGGAGGAGGAGAGGTTTGTCTGTAGTCCAGCAAGGAACAGAGGAGGGGGCAAAATCACTGTCCTGTGGTGGGGGTTCCTCATGAGTAGAGGGCAGCAGTTCCCCAGAACAGAAGGATGATCTTGTAGGTAAGGTCCTGGGCTGGGATTCCGGTTCCCAGCTCTACCATGGACTCCCCTGCATGATCTTGTCACCTCATCCCGCCGTGCCTCGGTCCCCCCGTCAAATGGGGCTCACGACACTTTCTTCTGCTCTTTGTCTATTTCAGTGGCGAGCTCTTCGGTGCAGGACAGTCTCTTCCTCCAGGTCGTAGCACAAACAAGCCACCATCTTGGCTGATGCTGCTAGGCTCCACTAATACAAACCATGGCAAAGGGAACCAATTCCACAGACGCTTTAGAACTGCGGCTCTTAGTCCCTTAGGGCCTGATCTTTACGCACCTAAATACCTTTAACAATCTAGCTCCCTAGGAACTAGCCCCAGGACAGGAAAGCCCGACATCCCATCATTACAGGGCATCACACCCTAGGAGCCTCCTGAGGATATACCGACAGGCGATTTGCTTTCAGGCACTTCAGTTGGCACATTCCTTGCCTTGTTATAGGGAGACACCTGCATTTCTCGCCATGCTGACTCCAGTAGGGAGCTTTACCCCACCCACTCCACTGCAGGCTAGGAGCCTTGTCTGAGAACTGGCCTAGAGCAATTGTTCTGAGCTCAGGTTTTGCATCGGTAGGCGCTTTATTCTGCTTTTGTAAATACAAAGGGAGGATCAGACAGGGATAGAAGGGGCTGGGCGTCTGGCTGATTGTCCAGCTCCATGCTCCAATATCTGCAGGGGCGTTTTCCAAACCTGTCTAATCAGAGAGGCGGCTTTGGCTGTATTCTTTAGGTTTCTCTTCAGAG